CTATATCATTTAATTTAGTAAGATGTGCCACAACAGTTTCAGATTCATAGCCATGGAAAGGATCAGATTCAACCAAAGTAATTATATCAGGATCAACAGAGAATTCATAATCCTTATCAGTAACACAGATAGGTGAAGTAGCAAAAGCAGGGTCAGGTTTCATTCTAGCACTAAGAGATTGCTGATTCCATTTAGCTAATACCTCTTGAGCTCATATCTATCTTTGCAAGCTAAAATAGCTAAAGCAGCTTCTTTTTCAAAAACATAACCCTCATGAATAACAGGCAAGTCTTCATCATCACTTTCATCAATATAATCAGTTTCAATAATTTCTTTCTCTCTAGCCCTAGCAATTTGTTCATCAAGAAATTCACTAAGTGGCACAGTAGTATCAAGCATAGAAATAGTTCATCATAAGTATCATGCATAGCAGAAGTGGCATCATCAATAACATGCGACATATCAGAATGAATAGCAGAAGCAGGTTTAGGTGTCACAAGCTTACTCAAAACAGAAGGTGAATCAAGTGCAGAGCTAGATGGCAGTTCCTTACCTCCCCTCGTAGTTGAGCGATAAATTATTGTCTTAGCGTCTTTCAAGTTCTTCATAGTGACCAGCAGATATTAATCCCAAGTGACTCAAAGAATAGAGCTATGCTCCGCGGCAACGGCGCCAGAAAATAGTCTTGATAACCCACAAGTATAGGGGATCACAACAATTTTCGAGGGTAGAGTATTCAACCCAAATTTATTGATTTGACACAAGGGGAGCCAAAGAATATTCTCAAGTATTAGCAGTTGAGTTGTCAATTCAACCACACATGGATAACTTAGTATCTGCAGCAAAGAGTTTCGTAGCAAAGTAATATGATAGTAGTGGTAACGGTAACAAAAGTAATGGTAGCAAAAGTAATATTTTTGGTGTTTTGTAGTGATTGTAACAGTAGCAACGGAAAAGTAAATAAGCGAAGAACAATATGTGAAAAGCTCGTAGGCATTGGATCGGTGATGGAGAATTATGCCGGATTCGGTTCATCATGTAACAATCATAACATAGGGTGACACCTACTATGTGACACAGAACTAGCTCCAATTCATCAATGTAATGTAGGCATGTATTCCGAATATAGTCATACGTGCTTATGGAAAAGAACTTGCATGACATCTTTTGTCCTACCCTCCCGTGGAAGCGGGGTCCTAATGGAAACTAAGGGATATTAAGGCCTCCTTTTAATAGAGTACCGGAACAAAGCATTAGCACATAGTGAATACATGAACTCCTCAAACTATGGTCATCACCGGGAGTGGTCCCGATTATTGTCACTTCGGGGTTGCCGGATCATAACACATAGTAGGTGACTATAGACTTGCAAGATAGGATCAAGAACTCACATATATTCATGAAACATAATGGGTTCAGATCTAAAATCATGGCACTTGGGCCCTAGTGACAAGCATTAAGCATAGCAAAGTCATAGCAACATCAATCTCAGAACATAGTGGATACTAGGGATCAAACCCTAACAAAACTAACTCAATTACATGATAGATCTCATCCAACCCATCACTGTCCAGCAAGCCTACGATGGAATTACTCACGCACGGTGGTGAGCATCATGAAATTGGTGATGGAGGATGGTTGATGATGACGATGACGATGAACCCCCCCCTCTCCGGAGCCCCAAACGGACTCTAGATCAGCCCTCCCGAGAGGTTTTAGGGCTTGGCAGTGGCTCCGTATCGTAAAACACGATGAATCCTTCTCTCTGATTTTTTTCTCCCCGAAAGTGAATATATGGAGTTGGAGTTGAGGTCGGTGGAGCGTCAGGGGGCCCACAAGGTAGGGGGGTGTGCCCTAGGGGGCAGGCGTGCCCCCACCCTCGTGGGAAGGGTGTGGGCCCCCTGACGTGGATTTTTCTTTCAGTATTTTTCTTATTTTCCAAATAGATGTTCCGTGGAGTTTCAGGTCATTCCGAGAACTTTTGTTTCTGCACATAAATAACACCATGGAAAGTCTGCTGAAAACAGCGTCAGTCAGGGTTAGTTCCATTCAAATCATGCAAGTTAGAGTCCAAAACAAGGGCAAAAGTGTTTGGAAAAGTAGATACGACGGAGACGTATCAGTTAGCTCATCAAAGACGGTGGGATCTTCAAAATCTCCTCATTATACGCCGGCTTGCATATCTCCACACATGTACTTCAAGAAACCATGTGAGGTAGTTGTTGAACGCGGTCGGGCAGTGCTCACGAAGCTTGGATCATGAACCAGCCTTAGCTTCCTCCACACTAAGCACGAACTGTATGACATACTTCCTGTGATGCTTGTCCAATCCTTGATCTTGCGCTGCTTTCTCCTATCCAACCTGCATGTTAGAAAATACAATATTAACACCATCGAAACCGCTGAGAAGCTGCTAAGTGCACAAGGTTCATCCTCTCTTACCCGTGTAGCAACTTGCCTGTGTCCTCCCATAATGGCGGGTGAGGCTGGAACAAACCAAACTAGCGGAACACCCGATATGGCATATGAAACTCAACTGCCCAGTTGCACATGAGTGGGCACCACATATGCCAAAGATCCCTATCCCTAAGGCACATCGGATTCAACACGAAATCTCCAGGGTTACCAAATCTATCCCCTTTTTCATACGGCTCCCATTCCACCTGCAACATAGCATAAAACAAGGCAACATTGATGTCGAGTTACGATAAAATCATGAGAATGACCGATGCAATGTCAAGTCACCTGCTCAGTCGTAATCGTGTCCAACTCGCTCATGTACTGCTTGTACATGACCAAGGGATCATCCGCCGTCTCACTTAACACATCCCACTTGTAAGCCCAAGTGGGGAATCGTAGTGGGTCGTCTTTGTCGTCCCATTGCTCGTACTTCACGGTCTTCGGTCGTCCAATCGACAATCGCTCCCAGTTCCATACAGAAAGTACGAGCATACAACCACCAATACATCCGTCCTTCGAGGTCCTACAACAGGCTTCATCCAACTGCACATAAAAAAACATGGTTCAATTAACAACAAGATTGCATTGGTAATATAGCAACGAAGTAAAAAAGAAACAACTGCCTACCTGTCTATACAAGTAAGCCAGTGTTGCCGAACCCAACTCCATTTGCTATCGAAGACGGTCAACGCATTCAGCCACATCCATGGAGCATTCTTGCATGTGCCATCAGCAAACATAGTCCTGGATATAACGTACCACATGTAGACACGAGCATATGTCTTGACCTGATCATCATTAGCATCCTCAGGGCAATTCCCAAAGTGGAATGCAATCCAGGTGAAAGGAGCACCGGCTGCGACTCTTTCCCTCTTCTTGTCTCCTTCTGGTACCGGAGGCTTTGGAGGAACCATACCGATAAGGGCCTTCATCTACTCGCCCCACCCATCAGAATCGGTGCTCATACAAAGAGGATTCCCCTCGATAGGAAGACTGACGATCATAGCAATATCCTGGAGCGTCATGGTTATCTCCCTGGTCCGAAGATGGAAATTGTGTGTCTCCAGCCTCCATTGATCAACAAGCGCGGCTATTGCTGCAGCATTGAGGTTCAGCATTGACCGGCTAACCAATTGAATGAAAGGGAGGAGTCCCGTGTCTCTTATGCACGGTGTGTGCTGCTCATCATAGTGCATCCCCCCAAGGGTGACCCCGTGAGACCGAATCTTCAGAGGTTGAAGCGGCTACAAACAAGCAAATCAGAATATTACATATGTGACATGTGTGTTTCAAATAAACACAAAATTTAACATACCAACCACTTTCATTATTACCTTATGCTCCTTCGACATAATGTAGGCCCGGTGTTGAGTGTTATAGTGATCATCGAGAAGTCAAATCATCCTACAAATTTCAAACAATAAACATATGTTAGCTAACTCCTTATGCTTCCTAATCAAAGCATGCCATCAATCAACACAAATAATGCCTACAATTGGTAAAAACTAAAAGGAAAATTGAATAATAATGTAATATCTATAATGGTTTCATGTAAATAACATCTCAACATATGTATCCAAAGCATTCTTGTCAATACGAATCTAGGATTTCATCTAACTCATCTAAAAAACATCAACACAAACATCTAGACATGTATAAGGTCCAGCTTAACAATCTAGATTTTCAACATAGAAAACACATCTTTTCAATAGAAATAAACTAAATCAGGGTTACAAAATAAATACATATCATCTACAAATCTTAAATCCCACAAATATATATACATGCAAGATTCTAATTCAATCAAACAAGGGTTCCACAAATCTTCAACATAAGATACATTTTTTTGGATAGAAAGAAGGGGATCGGAGGAGAGTACCTTCTAGGATGGATTGGTGAAGAAATCCACGGACCAAATCGTCAGATCTGAATAATTTGGGAGATGCTTGAGAGGGGGAGAAGAGGAGGCCGCCGGCGCGTGGTTTCTGCAACTAGGGCTTGGCACGACTGCCTCTAAATCACAGTGCAGCGCCCACACGCTAGGCGCTGAACTGCTAGGTGCGGGCCCCGGGGTGCCACCCTGACCAGGCCTGCAACGCCTGAGAGCAAGACGCTGTACAGTAAGGTGTGGCATCTGCGTGTCGTGCGCCATATAAACGGTCAGCTGAGTATATTTCTTTTTCGCACCAGTTCACTTTCTGAATTGTTTTAATCCACAGGTCAAAATTGGTAAATTTGCCCACAAAAATGTAAAATTTGCCCAAAACAGCAGCAACACGAACTGACGGTAGTCACAGACCCGAGTCCCAAGTTCAGGGCGCGCACACACAAAAAATAAAAATAAAAAAAAAATCAAAGTCCAAGTAGCCGCACCGGCGCCTCTGCTGAACTCAACCAGTCCGCGACCCCGACGAAGAGCGCCGCCGCTTCCTGGCCGGAAGCAACGCCCGCGATCTGCCCGAAGAGGTCGAAGTCCTGGGCCGTGTAACAGCACGGCCGCCAAATCAGTTCCCCCGCGCAAAACCAGTTCACCGAAGCTAATGGCGACGCCGGCGGGTTCCCACCCCGCCTCGCCGCCGGCGATACCCGGGAAGGCTGCGGTGGCAGCGTGCGCCGCCATGGCCGTTTCCTACGTCGCCGTCCTCTACGCCCCCACGCTCCTCCTCCGCCTGCCGCCCGCCACCTCGCTCCGCGCCTTCTTCCACCGCCGCTTCGTGTGCGCGGCCGTGTCCTCCGCCGCCTCCGTCCTCGCCACCGCGGCGCTCCTAGGCGTAGGTGCCCCCTTTCTCTCCTTCCAGTCCCCATCTAAGCCCTAGTGTTTGATACCCGGAAGGAATCTCAAATCCCCTGACCTATCTTGCTACCTCTCAGGTATGGAGCTTGAGCGACTCGTCTAAGGCGCTCGCGGTGTTCGGCATCCGTAGTGATCACTTGGTAATCAAGCTGTATCTCGATTACTACCACTTTTTGCTTCTGATTATACACTAATAAGTGGTGAGCTTCTGATGCTTGGACTGAAATGCTTTGATGGATCAGCTCGAGGCAGTAGTGATCCCACTTCTCCTTACATCCCTAGTGTATGCTGGGTCATTCGTCGCAAGACTCTGGGTCATGTCAAGCTCGTGTGGCACGGATGATGATGGGGTGGGAGTCAGCTGCACCGAGAAGCTTGCTCGCTGGATGCAAACCTCCTTACAGGATGTAATGGTGTGGCGGAACTACGTAGTGGTTTGTTCTTATTCCCCTTGATACCATTGTTTGACACTGCCTATTGGATGATGTGGAAATGTCACATAGTATTAGTGTCAGTGAATGCGGGATTATTAACTGAACATCTAATTGTAGGACTACATTATCAGCTAACAAGTTCATGTGTGCAAGTTGTTAACATTAGAATGCAAGCAGAGCCATGAATCAGTGGTTATGGGGATCAGATAAGCAATGCAATTCCATTATATTTCACAAGGAAGGCCAAGTATCGGCACCTAAAATATAATTTGGACCAGTACTTCTGCTGGCCATGACCCCTGCTAGCTCCATTCTCCCTCTGCCACCGTTTATATTATTGTTACAACTGAAAAGTGAGATAACAGTGTCATTTTCTATTTTCGGTGATGTTATTTGAGGATGATCTTTTGACCAGGCACCGTTTACGGAGGAGCTGGTTTTCAGGGCGTGCATGATACCTCTTCTTCTGTGTGGAGGATTCAAAATGTATAACATTATATTTCTGAGTCCAATCTTCTTCAGCCTAGGTAAATAGGTATAATATATTGCACCAGTTTTCACTTCAAAGGAACCAGCCTGGCACAAATCCTTCAGCTAATTTATGTAATTCGTCCTTTTCTAACTTGCAATTGGTGTATGAGTTTAGAAATGGTGCATGACCACATTCAGTTTTACCTTTATGTTTTGTGTTACTCTCAGTTAGTAACTGGGTCTTTCTGTTCACAGCACACCTAAACCACTTGTTTGAACTTCACCAACAAGGATGCAACTTTATGAGATCTCTCCTGATTGTTGGTATTTTTGTTCGCACCATCTGATTTTCTCCTTTAATGCTGTACAATCTCCGTATAACTTCATTGATAGCATGGGCAATTAAGAAGAGCCCATGATTTAACTTTACATGCTGGAGTGTCCTTTATGCCTGCACCTGTGATCTATCGAAGAATATTTTGGTATATTCCAATGTCCCTGCCAAAGTGCAAGCAGTAGCTTGTATAAGCACCTATCTTTTTCCGTTACATTTTATTTAGTCACACCATGGTCTCAAATGGTCCCTTCTAAACATTTGGAGCATCATGTTATACGTTATATATTTATAGGGCGAGTAACACTGCACATGCCTAATTGTTGTCAAAACAATTAATTGTACTTCAAATATGAATGTGATGTCTTTATTCTGTCATGCTATTTAGTGTTTACTTCCTTCGTAGCGTTCGTTTATAAGAATCATTTCTTAGCTCACATACTATATGTGTTAGGGAATCGTGATTGCTGGTACAGATTATATTCATTCTGACTTTTTGATAGCTAGTCATATTACACACATTAGTCTTCTGTTTGTCCGTAGTTCTGCATGTATTTTTTGAAACTTATCATCAGAGATTGCACAATTACTTTGGTTTCACCATTTGCGAACACCTTTTCCTTCCCTTGCTGAACTTACCATGACTCTTTTCTTCCATTCTCAGGTGTCCAATTAGGCTACACTGTAATTTTCGGGTGGTATGCTGCATTTTTGTTCATCCGAACAGGTCCTACTAATTCCCTTTTTGTTTTTGAAAACAGAAAATTGAGGGATTATTTATTTCAGCTATATCATTGATTCGTCACTATTGCTTATACCTTCCTAGTACTCCTTTTCCAATTAGCTCTTATATTTCTAGCTTTTTTTAAAGATGTTAGGTTTACTTGCCGTTGGTCCTAGTTCGTGCTGCGGCAAATGCTAGTCAGATTAACTTCTAAAGTATTAGCCTCTATATTCCAAAGTTTGTAGTTCCTAGTCCCAAATTGCTAGCACAAGGTTGGTTTAATCCCTTTTGGTAATGTAAAGTTGGTTCGATCCCAACTTGGGAGGCATGGCATGAAAGAACTTTGGTTAAACACAAACTTGTGTACTCTTGGTGACTTTTCAGTATTCGTGCCTTAAGATTCGTGGCTGAGCTCTCTGATGTGGCGCTACATGGCAGTTCAAGTGCATTTAATTTTGCTGAACCTTGCTTGTCTGTTAATTCATACTGAATGCAATTCAAAATTTCAAATATTTGTATATCGTGCTTAATTTGTATTAACTCTGTCAGTTACTAGTGGGTGTCTGGGTGATCAAATCAGAACAGCGAGTCAAATATTAATGTATTAGGGCTGTTGATTGTAGCAGTTTTTGTAAGCTAGTGGTACACGAGGAGCAGGAGATGTCCAAGTTCAGGACCTGAATTTTGGCCTCACAACTTCTTCCTCTTTGTTATTCTCTGCTGGGATGCTGCACTGCTCAGGGACGGAGGCAGTAGGGGGCGAGCTGGGGCCATGGCCCAGGCCAACAATGATAAAACAACACTGTTAGAGCTACTAATATGATGTTTTGGTAGCAAAATATTGTATTTTAGCTGTTCTGGCCCTCCCCAACGATGATGCAGCAACAATTGCACCTCCTCATACAACTTTTCTGGCTCCGTCCCTGGCACTGCTAAACATCATCGTCCCTTCTCATCTTCACTGAGGAGTGTGAGTGGAATCTCCAAACCATTGACACAGGTTTCTTGGTAGCGTTATCCACTTGACTGCTTGCTGTGTCCTCTGCATCCATGGTGTTCCAGCACTGCATTGCTTTAATTTCGACATGAACCGTATAGTAAGTTCTTCTTGAGAACTTTCCTCTTCTTACTGCTACTTTCTCTTGAAAAACTTACAGTAAGGATGCTGTTGAAAACAAAGCAATGCAATGCTCGTACGTTGAGGATGCAGAAAGTGTTTGCATGGAAAACGGCGCCGCAAACATTGTTGCTGCCCCATGCAGGAGATCTCTGTGGGCTCTGGCAACGGTTTGGAGATTCTGCCCACCTTCCTTATCAATGCATGCATAGAGGGAGGATGATGTTTAGCACTGTAATGCCCAACATAGATTAATAACGAGGAAGAATGGGACGAGACGCAATTTGGGTCCTAGTGTGCACTTAGCATTAACTGACAGAGTTAATACAGATTAAGCCTAGAATTCAACTGTTTGAATCACATTCATTTTTCTGTGAGGGGGCATGGTTCAAGAAAAGTAAGGGGGACTTGTCTGACTTGTGTCTCAAGTCATGCGGCCGTGTGTTTGGCTTGTGAGTAGCCAAACCTCTTTGTGCCATGTGTTTCAAGTTTTAAGGAATGACAAGTGTGCTGACTTTTATTGCTCTCTCCTGCCTTACTTCGGCAATATGGAACTAAACCATGCAAGGTCTGAAATTTAGAAACTGGGCTTCCTACATGGACCAAATTTATAAACACAATTGAAAATATTGTGCTCATTAAACCCATCTGCTGATCCAACATGACAGTCTAATTTTGTGAAACCATATATTTTGGCAAACTATCAAATAATTACACCCTTTTAGGATTAGTTTTGTAAAAGCAGACTTCATCTGTGTCAGCATTAGAAATTATGCCTTGTAGGTTTTCAAGAGAATTGAAAAGCGTGACTCGGTAGTTAGTGAGACAAACCTGACGGCACTGTTACGAAGTTGCTCTGGCCCCGTAACGGTCGTGTGGTTGATGATGGCCCCCACAAATGTTTGTTCAGGTGAAATCGTAGAAGGTGTGGTTTGCTAAAAGCCTACAACAGTGATACTGATACAAAAGCCGTGTTGTTTGTGATGGCCTTGTTATGAACTAAGAAAAGTTTCTTGAGAACAGGCGTTGTTCTGGTAAATTTACTCTATCTTTCTGCTATGGCACTCACTAAGCTTATGCCCTGTGAACTGGTTAGAAAAATGAAATTTCACTTGTACTAAGTGCCATGCCTTTTCGCTTGGTAACATGCTGCATGGGTGAGCTGGTTCATATGTTTTGACTGAAAGTGTACTTTAATTTTATCTTGACAAACATGACATATTGATCAACTTTTGTTCTAAAAAACTGCAGGGAATCTTGTGCCTCCTATTGTTGCTCACATATTGTGTAACATGATGGGTTTGCCTGCATTCTCATCACCGCGAACAAGAGGTATGTGCATATGATGTTCTTTCTCTGAAGAAAGAAAAGTAAGCTCATGCAAAGTTGTAAAACTTCTCCCCGGTGCTTATCTGTGTTCCAGGAGTGACATCGCTAGCGTTTCTGGCCGGCTCAGTATCCTTCTTTTGCCTTCTTTTCCCTGCTACAAGTCCAAAACTGTACAATGCGAGGTTAGACGGATGCAGTTGCTGGCATGGTTACTGCAGATGGAGTTAGCACAGAACTGAGCGTGGGGAACAATGCTGCATCCGTTCTGGATCGCTTCTGTCATTGTTGTAAAATACATTCTTGTAGCTAGCTTGCCCTTCTCTTGCAATTCAGCAATTGTTCGCCAAGGATCAGAAGGCTGTCAATTTTTGTTTTGAAAGACTTGTCCAAAGCCGGCATCGTATGGCTCTTCAAACTAATCATGTCAATTTTTTTAGGGAACTAATCATGTCAAATTGGTTTAGCTTTGAAGATTCTGCTTTAAGCCTTGTAACTTTGTGCATCATGCAGTTTTTGTGTTCTTTTTGACAATTATCTCCTCCTTTATTCATTCGTCGTAGCATCGCTTGCAACAAGAGGAGTAACCACATCCAGGGTGGTGTCCATCCAAATATCTGGAGGAGAAAATCTAGCTATCCTAGCTAGTTCATGAGAAAATCTAGCCAGTTTTGGTGTTCTATTTGGGTTGCAGTAGACAGAGATTAGAAAACGTATGAACGGAACAAATTTGTTTACTAACTTTTCGCATTTTACTATCCAAAAAATCCTGGGTGCAAAGGCACCCAGGAGTAGAAAAGGATACTTCCGCACCTACAGCCTTTCTATTCATATAACTACTAGCAAGATGCCCGTGCGTTGCAAGGAACATTTAGATCTTGTGGGAGAAAATGATGAACGATGGAAGGCTTTATCTGCAAATGTGGAGAGGAATGCGGGTAAATTCTCATAGTTTCCTTCGTATCCGTTAGATATAGATCAGATGGTCTATATTGCAGGATGGCAGGCACACCATTATCACCAACTCTGCTTTTTATGAGAGTATATAGATATCTGTACCTAAAGGGAGGTGCATTTTTTTCGATTTTTTTGGTTTGTTCACTTAATTGCTTAAAGGGCTCTAGCAATTAAAACAGCGTCAAATCAGCATATTTAAATATTTTTTCATTTATGAAAAATTCAAATATCTCCGAAACCTTTTGTGGTGCCAAATATTGCAATGTAATTAAGTGGCCAAGTTCCATATTTTACAAAACTCATTTGGTACTAAAAAGAAATGCAAAAGAGAAAAAAAATTAGAAAGAAAGGGAGAAATGGCACTGTGCACAGTGCCTGCCCAGCCTGCTTCCCCCGACGTCCTCCACCTGTCAAAGGCGACCGAGCGCTCGTGCACGCGCCCGTCCCCGTCGAGCCACCTCGTCGCCCGCGCCTCTACAGACGGCCGTGGGGGGATGAGACCGCCATCGTCGACGCCTGGACACGACCTAGATTTCCCCCCTCCTCTCGCTCCGCTCCTTCCTCTCCCGCCATGGCCGCCTCATCCATCGCCGTCGCCAGCTCGCCCGCATAGCCACCTACCTCCCCGTGCCGCGCCACCGTGCCCGTTAGCTCCGTTCTGCTCCACCGTGTCGACTGCTGCCACACGACGAACCTGGGATCCCCTGCATCGCTAGATCGCCACCGTCTTCTTCCTCTGGACCAGCCGACGTTCGACGTTGAATTTGTCGCCCTCTACAGCTACTAAACCATCGCCGGCAACCGTGTGCCACCCGGTGACCTACTACTCGTTTCCCCTCCCTTAGCGATGTCTCCCATCGCCCGTAGCCATAGCCGTTGTCATGGCCTTGCCTCGCCGTCGCGGCCATAGCCATCCTAACTCCCGTCCGGGCACGACATCGTGCTCCTAGTGTTTGCACGAGCCCAACAAGCACACGCACACGCCTCCCCATGCTCTATGCTCGAATGCGCCGAGGCCCGAGCTCCGGCGTCCACCTAGGTGGTCGCCGTCGTCGCTACGCGCCACACCCGTCCGTGACACCGCCACCAAACGACATGGCGCTGAACGCCCGTTTGAACGTGTCGCCGCACGCTCCAAATGGTGCACTGTAGGCAAAATCTGACGCCGGCCCGAGCCCCTCCGTCGCGGAAATGGTCGCCAGAGCTTGCTCCGGTGCCGCCACTGACGTGGCTGGCCCTGGGACCCACCCTGAGTCACTGTTGGTGGGTCTCATGAGCCCCGTTGATTGCGCTGACCAAGTCAACTTGCTAGCTGGGTAACCCCTGGTCACTGACATGTGGACCCCACATGCTAATTAACTTATTTTCTAAAATAAACTTAATCTATTAACTAATATGACACTGACAAGTGGGTCCCAGTATCTAATTAGCTTAATTAGTTAATTTAATCCACTGTTATATTGTTTTAGTCTATAACGGGTAGGCTCGCCTGTGAGTTTGACCAAGTCAACAGTCAACCTAGTCAACCTGGCCAGGGTGCAACGCAGGCTGGCAAATGTGTCACGGAGGTTGTCTACCAAATGGCTGACGTGTTTGGTTTTGACAACCACATGGTCAACATACGCTTCGACGGTCTTTCCGATGTGTTTCTCCAGGCATGTTTGGATCATACGTTGGTACGTGGCGCCAACGTTCTTTAGTCCGAAAGGCATTGTGTTGAAGCAAAACGGCCCGTAGGGTGTAATGAATGCCGTTGCTACCTGGTCGGATTCCTGCATCTTCATTTGATGATATCCTGAATAGACATCCAGGAAGCATAGCGCGTCGTTGCCCGCTGTGGCATCTATGATTTGGTCGATACAGGGTAAGGGGAAGGGGTCTTTGGGGGCAAGCTTTGTTGAGGTATTTAAAATCGACCCACAAGCGCCATGACTTATCCTTCTTTGGTACCATAACCAAATTGGCTAGCCAGTCGGGGTTTTTTATATCTCGGATAAACCACGTCTCCAATAGTTTAGCCAGTTCCTCGCCCATTGCTTGACGCTTGGGCTTAGAGAAACGTCGAAGTGTTTGCTTGACAGGTTTATAGCCTTTTAATATGTTCAAGCTATGCTCTGCGAGCTTGCGAGGTATCCTGGCATATCGAAAGGGTGCCAGCCGAATATGTCCCAGTTTTCCTTAAGGAAAGTATGTAGGGCCTCGACAATCTCTAGTTCGAGGTTTGCCCCTATGGATGCCGTTTTAGCAAGGTCCGTGGGGTGTACTTGGAATTTGATTATCTCATCGGCCAGTTTGAAAGAAGTGGATTTCGATCTCTTGTCGAGGATGATATCGTCCTGGTCGACTTTGGCGCGTAGCGTGGTTAGCTCTTTGGTCTCGAAAGCTCCGGCGAGAGTTTCGAGGGTGAGAGACGTCGTCTTATTCTTGGTTTTGAGTGCCCTGTCGGGGTCACTAGAGATGGTAATTATCCCTTCAGGGCCTGCCATCTTGAGCTTCATCTAACTGTAATGCGGTATAGTTTGAAATCTGGAAAAAGCGTCCCGTCCGAGAAGGGCGTGGTATCCAGTTTTGAAAGAGGCGACATGGAACGTAATCTCCTGGGAAAAATAATTATCCGGAGTTCCGAAGACTACATCCAGAGTTATCTTCCCGCTACAACGTGCCTCTCGTTTGGGAACTATGCCTTTAAAGGCGGTGGCACTCTATTCTATGCGCGATTTATCAACGTGCATCTTTTCCAGAGTATTAGTATATATCAAATTTAAACTGTTGCCTCCGTCCATAAGGACCTTCCGGAGTCAGCAGTTATCCACAATGGGGTCGCGGACCAGCGCGGAGGGACACCTATCCAGGGCCGATCTTGGCTGGTCATTACGGTCGAAGGTTATCGGCGTGTCTATCCTGGCCCCGTTTGCGAGGTTCACGCCAAGGTGCCGATCGGTCGTGTTCTGAGTAATCTCCGTAGATCGAATCCACATTTTCCTCGGCCAACCAGGCATCTTCAATGGCGCAGAATTGCGCTACCACGTTGGTCAATTCCGGAAGCGTTTGAACGCAGCAACGGGCAAGGGCGTTCGACATGCTTTTATCCTTACACCCACACTGGAGGGCCGCGATTATACCAGAGTCCTGGTAGGCCGATATCATGTCTTTGACAGATGAGAATCTAGCCCATAAACACCTAATAAGTTCGTCTAGGAGCTGTTGTACGTAAGCTAGGTCCCAGACATCAGGCGGGCCGGAGTCATCGGGACGATACTCTCCGGGTGGGAGACGAGCTGATGCGTCTCAACCTCTAGAGATTGAGTGTCTTAAAACCTATTATCCCCACCAAATGTTGGACCAGCGGCCATTGGCCTGGGTGAGTTGATTCGAAGATCAACCTTCTGGACCGCTGGTTGGCCGCCATCTGAATCGATTTCCAAAAAGTACCTTAGCCCATCGTCTTTAGGAGAATCCCCCGCAGGGGCAAAGGAGGGGTTATGCTTTGCCTCCAGTTTACGTAGAGACGTCCTCATGCTCGATGCTTCGGGCGTAAAATCCATCCCTGCGAGCTCGGAGCTGTTGACCGGTGATCCCATTGATTCTTCTATCGACCGTACAACGGAACTCTCAATGAAAGCACTAGTGTCGGTGTGAAAACCGGCAGACCTCGGGGTAAGGTGTCCCGAGATGTGGATCTTGGATCAATGGTAATAGGGACAAGTAGGGAAACAATGTTTACCCATGTTCGGGCTCTCTTGATGGAGGTAAAACCTTATGTCATGCTCTTGTTTATATTGATGGAGATGTATCGAATACATAGTTGATCTACCTCAAGATCGTAATGTATGGTCTAATTCTAAGGCTAGGTGAATGATATTGCGTTGATCTCCCTTCTATGGGCTACACCATTTGGCTTATATACACGCCAGGGAGGGGATCTAGGATTACAAGGTCAGTATCTAGGAGGAAGGCGACAGGAGAGATCTTGGAGTATACATCAAGTCTTCGGTGGAGGTAGTCTAGATCACGCCTCCTTTACATGGCCTCCGGAGTCCATCTTGATCACACATGAGGTCCCATCGGCCCACCCGAAGAGACGGGACGACCAGGTTAGCACCCCCTATCCAGGACACCGTCACAGTGCTTTGTCGGTGTCATATGCAACAAACCATGTGAGAGTGCCCATGGTTGTCAGATGCGGCGGGAGATTAGGGGCGGGGCCGGGATGATGACACGGTTACCAATGATAGTCAACTATTGCAATCGTGTGCAAGATGCACACATTTGCG